GGAACAATCCCAATGGGAACGGCAATGGGAATAGTCCCAACAGGAACAGCCCCAACAGGAATGGCCCTCAATGGGAACAATCCCAACGGGAACAATCCCAATGGGAAGGGCAATAGGAATAGCCCCAACAGGAACAGCACCCAATGGGAACAATCCCAATGGGAACGGCAATGGGAATAGTCCCAACGGGAATGGCCCCCAACGGGAACAGCAATGGGAATATATAGCCCTAACAGGAATGGCCTCCGACGGGAACAGCAGCCACCGTGAACGGCCCTCACGGGAACAATCCCAATGGGAAGGGCAATGGGAACAGCCCCAACGGGAACAGCACCCAACGGGAAAGGCCCTCAACAGGAACAGCCTCCAACAGGAACAATCCCAATGGGAACGGCAATGGGAATAGCCCCAACTGGAATGGCCCTCAACAGGAACGGCCCCCAATGGGAACGGAAATGGGAATAGTCCCAACGGGAACGGCCCCCAACCGGAACGGCCCCAACGGGAATGGCAATGGGAATATATAGCCCTAACGGGAACGGCCCCCACTGGGTACAATCCCAATGGGAAGGGCAATGGGAATAGCCCCAACGGGAACAGCACCCAGCAGGAATGACCCTCAACAGGAACAACCCCAACAGGAACGGCCCCCAACRGGAACAATCCCAATGGGAASGGCAATGGGAATAGCCCTAAYGGGAACAGCACCCAACGGGAACAATCCCAATGGGAACCGCAACGGGAACAGACCCTAACAGGAGTAACCATGATAGGAACAATCCCAATGGGAACAATCCCAACRGGAACAGCTCCCAGTGGGCACAACCCCAGTGGGAACGGCAATGGGAACAGCCCAAATGGGAACAGCACCCAACAGGAATAACCACAATGGAACAGCCCATAATGGGTATAACCCCAATGGGAACAATCCCAATGGGAAGTGCAATGGGAACGGCCCCAACGGGAACAATCCCAACGGGAAGAGCCCCCCAACAGGAAGAGCCCCAATGGGAACTGCCCTTGACAGAAACAACTCCGATGGGAACAGCCCCCAACAGGCACAATCCTGATGGGAACGATTCCAATGGGAACAATCCCGATGGGAACAGCCCCTGACAGGAACAGCCCCTAGGGCCTGGCTTGGGAACAGCCATAATAAGAGAAAACAGAATCCGATTGGTTTAAAATCCRTGTGAAAACGGAGCTGAACAGGGGCAAACTGGAGGCCGGCGCTTCCCAGCGTCTCGCTCCGCATTGTCTGGATTTGGTTCAGGAGGGTTTTTAATGTCGGTTTGACAGCGACGCGGAACAGGCCGGGAGCCTCCCGGATAACCTCCCGAGGCGGCTCCGCTCCCGCGGCTCCGGGGACACCGCGGAGCTGCCSCGGCGCTGGCTTTGGCTCCGCGCAGACAGCGCCGCTGCCCTYGGGAGCCGCTCGGGATTCCCCGGGATCCTCCCTGGGATTCGCCGCCGGAGCGGGGCCGCTGCTCCCAGAGATCCTGGCTGGGTGCCCTGGCCGCCCCGCGCGGCTCCGCGGTCCCGGTTTCCGATCCCTGGAGCTGCTGCTCCGTTCCGGGTGTTCGTCACCCGCGGTCCCGGTTTCCGATCCCTGGAGCTGTTGCTCCATTCCTGGGGTTTGTCACCTGTCCCACGGCCAGGACGAGGTGCCACAGTCCCCTGGCTGTTCCCGATCGGAGCCTCCGGGCACTTGTCCCGCCGGGGGTCCCGCCATGGGGCTCGTTGTCCCCCACCCCATGGCCCAGCCCCTTCGCTGCACCCCACAGGCCTGGTCCCAGCCCCATAGCCCCATCCCGACCCTATAGCCCTGGTCCCACACCCCAT